TCTCTCTCTCTCTCTCTCTCTCTCTCTCTCTCTCTCTCTCTCTTATATATATATATATATATATGGCATGTTTGCGAACCCATAAAAGATAAGATTGGAAAGTTTGAATCGCCTATTGTGTTTATTTGATGTTAAAGATAAAAGCCCGTTATAACTTACGACCACATGAGATGCCTGGTGAGTATAATTTTCCTAAAGGCTCTGTTTGCTTGAACGCCGTGGCGAAAGTCTGGGCGCAGGTCCGGCAAGGGGCGAGATGGGCATTAGGCGATGGCCGACAAGCGCGGTTCTGGACGGATTTATGGCTAAATGTGAAAGAGCCGCTGATTACCATGGTGCGAGCGAGGCCGCCGATCGAGCTGCTTCACGGCCCAGTGGCGGATTATGTTACCACGACTGGGGAATGGTGGTGGGAGAAATTCGAGGATTTTTTGCCGGCTACTGCCCTGCTTCTTGTCGCGGCGGTGATGCCACCATCCTCCTCGTCTCGAGCAGACCGACTGATTTGGGGATACACGTCGAATGGAATTTTCTCGACAAGGACGGCCTACGAAGCTCTTACGCGGAGGGCCGAGAACAATGTCAGGCCACTGTGGAAAGCCGTGTGGAGAGCGCCGACAACTCAACGGGTGAGACATTTTTAATGGTTGGCTAGCCGGGATCGCTTATTTACGAATGTAGAGCGGGTTCGTCGGCATATGGCTGATGGCGTAGCATGCCCTTTCTGCGGTCTGCACGAGGCAACATTACATGTACATCGAGACTGCGAGAAGGCTCGGCGTATCTGGCTGGAGTTACTTCCATCTGCGGGTTGGCGGGACTTCTTCTCGCCGGATGTGCAGGAGTGGTTGTGGGAGAATTTGATGGCGGCGCCTCCTACTGGAATGGTTAAATGGGCGTCCACATTTTCCATAACATGTTAGCACTTATGGGCTTGGAGGAACATGGCTATTTTTTCGAATAAAGCTTTTCCTCTTGCGTCGCAATTGCTAGATATTCGGAATAGAGTGGACCAGTACTTGAGCAGTACGACTTGTGCCGATGCGCTGGGCGTGAGTGATCGACGCTTTGAGGTAATAATGATTTATTGGACTCCTCCCCCGCCGAACTGGATTAAAATTAACACGGATGGCGCGTTGTGCACAACTTCTGGTAGGGGGAGTGCTGGCGGTTCAGCCCGCGACTCAAATGGTCGATGGCTTGGCGGTTTTCTTATGAACGTGGGGTTTTGCTCTATCACGGGAGCGGAATTATGGGGCCTTTATCAGGGTCTTCGTCTCGCGTGGGACTTGGGATCACTTAATGTATTAGTTGAAGTGGATAATAGTAGTGTCGTTGCCATGGTCTTGGGGACGGAAGATAATCTCGGGCTTCATGTTTCAATTATTCAAGCCATTAGAGATTTGCTCAAGTTGGAGTGGTGTGTTTGCTTGTCCCATATATATAGGGAAGGCAATTTCGCGGCCGACAAGTTGGCTTCGTTGGCTTATGGGGTTGAGGTTGGGCTTAATCGTCTTACAGATCCGCCGTCGGAGCTCGGGCATTGGCTGAACCAAGATTTTTTAGGGGTGGCTCGACCACGTCGCGTGATGTCTTAGAGTAGCGTTAGGCCTAGACCTCCTTTATTGTACCAAAAAAAAAAAAAAAAAACCGTTAAATTTTAAATGCCCGGAAAACTCTGTATGAAGCCAGTGAAATAATATATATATATATAATTGCTAGCATATAGAATTTAATAAAACATTTAATAAAACCTCCATTCATTTTCCCGCTCATTTTTTCAATTAATGTAGAACCGTTACATTTTACATTAATAAAGTGTAATAATAATTTTAATATAATTTATTCACTACTAACACTAATTGATTACAACTTTACATTAAATAGTATGTGGAAGTTACATATTTATAAAAAATTGTATTGCAATTTTTTTCTTTAAAATATTTTTTCTAAAATAAAATATTTTTGTTCTTTGTAAGCGATTTTTATCTAATAAGTTAATTGACATGAGTGTCATCATTAAACACCTTAAAATCACATAAACAAATGCTATAACAATGATAAAAATAATTGTAATACTTTTCTAACTAATTAGTTGTATGGTCTCTCTAAATTACTAAATTATATTAGCCATTAAAATTTATGGCATCAATATAAAGATTCATACGTAAGTTAAATAAATTATATTTACATTACACATTTGCATGTAGTCCAAATTTAAAATGTAATACATCAATTATTTAATATAAATTTTGTTATATTGTATACATAAATATAATATATAAATTTTTATTTTTTTGTGCATGTGCACAGGATGAATACTAGTACTAATCTAAAGCCATGATCATTAATCACACCTTGTAGAGCTATGCGATAGTAAATATTCACAAAATTTCCTTTAGTATTCAATGTATTAGAAATGTTCAGAGATGTCCAAATGAAGAAAATGATAACGTGCGGCTTATATACATGGACAATTCCACATGACCAAACAAATCACTAGATGCTATGTACATGAACTAAAAAGCAGCCTAGTAACAGAAGAAGGAAACACGACTCTATAAGTGAGAAGTGCGATATGAAAAGGAAAAACACAAAAACAAATACAATCGATTCTTTTTTAAAAAAATGACTACTTAATCATATTAAAGAAAATGAATAAAAGAGAGCATGCATGCGAGTAGTAAACTGAGCCGGTTGAGATGAAGTTGAGTTCAAAACTCTATACCTCCCTCCCCCATTTCTCAAATGGGAATGTGATTGGGGTTCATCAATTCAAACTTGAGCAAGAAGGATCGAAAAACTGTGCCACCAAGAGTGAAAGAAGAGGCAATATGTAGAGGTGAAACAAAGCCTTCTATGAATTTATTGTAGACAAACATGGCAATTTATGACAGGGTGCTTAGTCCGCTCGTGAAAATCCGGGTTGGCGGTGATTTACCCAACAACCTTATTGTCACACCAGAGGGGAATAGGTGTATTGATGTGAATACCAAGATCTTGAGCAATTCCATTGATCCATTGAAGCGCACATACAATTGTAGCCATGGAGCTATATTCAGCCTCTGCGTAGGAACGAGATACAGTCCTTTCCTTTTAGTTCTCCAAGAGATGTGAGCATCTCCAAAAAAATACAATATCATGCAAGAGATTTCCTAATGATTGCATATGTGCCCCAATCAGTATCACAGTAGCCTTGAAGTGTGGAAGAGACCTTGTCTAGAAAGCACAATCCCATACTCACTGACCACTTTAAGTATTGAACCAAGTGTATTGCAATCATCTAATGAGATTCACAGGGGCTCTTGAGAAATTGACTCAGCTGTTGAATTCTATTAGACACATATGACTAGAAAGATTAAGGTATAATAGCCTCCTCAATATCCTTCTGTAGTCAACCAAAGGTGTTCTTGTGGTATTGAAAGATTCAAACCTTGTAAAAAAGGTATCACTGTTGGTTTACAGTCTTGTAGTCCTAAATCAGAAATCATATCATTGATATATTTAATCTAGTCCGAATACGTGCCATGTTGATTATGGTGAATCTCAAGACCAGAAAAATATTTTGTTACTCCAAGATCCTTTATAGTAAATAATTTGTCCAAATATGACTTGAGATATTCTGCTTCTTGTAGAATAGTTCCTTTAATCAAAACATCATCCACATAGATTGTTGGAATTGTGCATTCACTGCCATGAGAGTGAAGACTTGAAGCCGCAGCTTATTTTGCATGGTTCTTATTTTCTGTTATTTTAGTTTCCATTTTTTTCTTTTCCTTTTTCTCTTGGTTAAAAACGTGTTGCGAGTTTATTAGTTCTGAACGCTTTTACCTTTGGAACAAAACGATGTCGTTTTGTTGCTGCATGTATGTACGGTGCATGGGACCCTTTGTAAGGCCTTCCCTGCAACTCGTTCTTTTGAGTTTTCTTAATGAAATAAAATTGTTCCCAAAATATCTGAGCTCTCTAGATCGATTTCAACATGGTATCTAGAGCGGTTGATTCTGGCGCCGGCATAGCTTGAGTTTGTTGATCGGAGATCTGATTTAGGGTTTCCTGTTGCAGATTATCTTCCAAACGCTTTGATTTTGCTGTTCTGTTTTGAGCTACCTAACCATGGCGCAACGCAGAAATGAGGCTTGGCCTTTGCTCAACACCAACACTACACCTAGTTTGAAGCTCACCGAGCAAGATCCGTTGTTTCTACATAGCTCCGATCACTCTTGTATGATTTTGGTAACTACTCCTCTGACTGGAAATAATTTTCTGCCATGGAAGCGTTCGATGATTATCGCTCTCAATGCTAAAACGAAAATAGGTTTTATTAATGGAGAAATTGAAAAACCGGATGAAAAGGATGATATGTATGTTATATGGAAAAAGGTTGATTGGACTGTACTTTCATGGATTTTGAATTCCTTGTTAAAGGACATTGCTGAGTCCTTTATGTATGCTGAGTCTTCCAAGGATCTGTGGGATGGTATTTGTCAGAGGTACGGTGAGAACAATGGCCCTATGAAATACAAGTTGCAAAGAGAGATTACTAGTTTGAATCAAGTAAATGACACAGTCATGGAATATTTTAACAAGCTTAAGAAATTGTGGGATGAGTATGCTTGCATTGCTCCTGTGAGAATGTGTGATTGTGTGAAAGGAAAACAGGTGGCTCAACATGAATCAGAAACCAAACTAATTCAGTTTCTCATGGGACTCAATGATGGCTATGACAATTAGAAAAATCAAATCATGCTGCTGGATCCACTACCTACAGTGAATAAAGCTTACTCAATGATACTCACAGCTGAAAGACAAAGATCAGTTCAAAATCTGTACAGTGAGAGGATGGACAGTGCTGCATTAGCAGCAAGGACAGATGGATATGGGAGAGAAAATTACATGGGGGGAAGAAGTGGAGCACAATGGGGAGTTGGTAGAGGAAGAGGAAGCCCTAGACTTACAAAGGAAGAGAAGGCCAGGCTTGTTTATGAAAAATGTGGGATGAAAGGACATAGCATATCCACGTGTTTCAAAGTCCATGGAATACCAGAGTGGTACAAGGACCTCAAGCAACAACAACAAACCAGGACTTATGCCAACAACATTGAAGTTGGGAATAGAACTTCGAAACAGAAAAGGAAGACCAATGACAAAACAGCTGAGCAGCCAGATCTTAACTCAATTATTCAACAATTGAATGAGCTCACGCAATATATCAAACGGAAGGAAAGCATGGAAAACAGTATGGATTATGCACAGTTTGTGAACTTTGCAGGTAAAGATAAGAAAGATGATCTTCATTTTGCTTTGTCAGCTCTTAATAATGATGTGGTTGGGGAATGGATCATTGATACTGGTGCTAGTAGGCACATTTGTTCAGAAAAAAAGATGATCAGAGAGTTGCAACCACTCAATGATCCAGTTAATGTTTGTTTACCTGATGGAACTTTAAGGAAAGTAGTTAGCAAAGGAAGGGTAACTTTGAGTGGTCAGATTATACTAGAAGATGTGCTGTTTGTGCCATCCTTCAAATATAATTTGCTGTCAGTAAATCAGATGTGCACACACAACAACTTCAAATGGATCTTTACACCTACAGATTGCTACTTGCAGGACCAGAGGAATAATAGGGTGCTTGGAGTTGGAAAGCTGAAAGGAAATTTATACATCTTCCAGAACACATTTGCAGAAGAGAACAAAGCTCAGTGTAATTTGGCAGTGGAGGAGTGGCATAAAAAGTTAGGCCATCCTTCTTTGTCTACTATGAGGCATCTCAATTTCTTGAAAGGAGTTTGTAGTCAAAAGGATGAAACTCTAGTTCAAGATTGTTATATATGCTTCAAATCTAAGCAACATCGACTACCATT